CGTTTTGAGCGGTTCAAGCAGCTGAATGAGGAACAAGAAATTTGAAGGTGCGCTTATCAGTTGATTGTGGTGTTGCTATCAGTTATCAATTGCTGCTTTAATAGCTGTCCAATGCGTGAACAGAATGACGGCAGGTGAATTGCTGCATATTTTGCTTTCTGATTTATGCTCTATGATGTGCTGAATGAAATTTGATCAGAAATCAGAAAGTACTGATCACATATGATCATTCCAATCAATCAGTTTTGATCTGAGGATAGATCAAACAGTATTTTGTTTTGGAGCTAGGGTTCACTTGATGTGATTGATAGGAGGGCATTTGATTTAGGCTAGAATTGGGGTTTGAGAAGCTTGAACTTGAAGAATTTGTTTTGGGTTTGTAGGCAATGTAGGTTCGAGTATTCAGAGTTTTGTTTTATGAGTTTCGTTGCTATTTGTAGTTGTTAATATCATTTATGGTTTATTTTAGTAGAGGACACCTCAATAAAAGAAATCAGTGATAAATACTTTGCGTGTTATCAGTTTGCGCACACAAAGTGTCCGCTTTATGTCCGCTCTAATCAGATTCTTCTGATTAGAGCGGACATAAAGCATAAAGTGTTGCTAAACCATTTGGACATGAACATGAACCACAGCATCAGTGCTTTTGACCATAAAGCATTAAACATAAACCATCAGTGCTTTTGATCACATCTGATCACGAATCGATCTGTCTGATCGTACACAATTTGATCACTGGATGAAACAAATTGTTGCATAGATTTTAGCTGGAAAAAAGCAAGATATGATATCCCTCATAATCAGTTTGCATCAGTGGTTTTGTTATGTTCATATTATTCACATCATTACGTCGATTTTCACTTTTAACTGTTGAAGCTTAATGATGCAATTGTGTCTGAACATTGCCTACGAAAATGTATTCAACTGAATGCATTCTGATTTCACGTAACTTCAAAAAATTTCATGTTATGTTTATTAGATTCATTTGGAATCACCTAACTAATTAGTGAGCGAGAGTACAAGTTTAGTGCATTTTTTTAATAACAATTGCAGTTTGATTATCAAATCGTTTATATATATAAATATTGATGAATTCCCACCAGCAAAGAATTTTATAAATGGATTTCTCATTTCATATCATTTTATTCAACAGTGTTGAATTGGCTTCAATCGGTTGAGTGCTCTCTGAATTGTACGGTTACGGATTAATGCTATTAGGTGCGTGGGATTTTGCTGAAGTGATTCGTTTTGGAAGGTTCGAGGTTTGGAAATCTGATTTGGAATCAGATTTTCGATGTTAGTCGCTCGATGCTGACGTCAATTAAGGCGTTGATTGAGAGCGTTGATTTGATTAGCTGCTGCACTTTAATTGCAGAATACCAGCAGCTTAAAGATGGCGGCTGGCCTTTCGAGTGACGTCGTGGTTGGTGTTCGATGTGTGATACACATCGAATAATTTGTGACCGAATCCAAAAATTTAATAATCGTTCACTTGACTTGACTTGAGCTAGTGACTGATTAAAGTTGATTAGACGTTTGATAGGCATAATATAATTGGGGGGTGTGTTTTACTTTCCATGGAGTGAACGGACATTCTGAGTAGATTCGAGGAATTTGAAAGTACCTTATAGGTGTAATTTAGAGTTATGGCTGTGCAGAAATTTTTTGGGGTGAGGTCATGATGTTCTGATGGAGTATAATTGCGCGATAGTGACATGTGCTCAGAATGTGTAATTAAACGTGATTACATAGAGATAGATTCGTTAATGGAATAAACTTTGACTTCGAGGAGAACTAAGCTCTTAAGTGATTAGCTTAAGTTGTCAAACTTGTTATTATGATCTAAACCTTTTAAGATTGTTCATTCGAAACTGAGCAAAACTCTTCATATGCATGCTCATATTATTGTATCGGAATTTAAACGTCTTCTAGAGAAGATTCATTCAGCTTTTGTGTTGTTTGATTCCGATTTGCAATTCTTTCAAGTGATCTGATCAATTCAACTATAAAAATTCAGAATGAAAAAGGGTATTTTCGTGAAAGTACCGCGTTAAGCGAAGGAATCAGGCTGCTCTACTCAGATCTCTTCAGTCCAGTCTGAACTCGAAGTCTGGACTGAAGAGATCTGAGTAGAGCAGCCTAATCGTAAGATATCTGCAAGCTCGAAAGGAAGTAAACAAGCGAATTTGGGCAGTCTGTACGGCCCGCCGATGCCCTCAAAAGAGGTACGACGATTGGCTCTATGGGTTCTGAATAGCTTTTACGAGTGCCGATAGCTTTTATCCGCGTGCACTTTCTGATATCGTTTATCCGCATTCCGCTTATTATTCTATCTTGATGTTGATATCATTACGATGCGTGTTGCAGGTGTGAATTTCGCACAGTTTTCGTTCGTATTCTCACGAGAATTTTCACTTAATATATGAGTATTTTTTGGGAAAATAGCCGATCAATTGAAGATATTCTCATGAAATTTTAGATCCAATTATAGGTTTCGGACTGAGGATTAAGCTCCATCAATTATTTAGATCCAATTGTAGTTTTCGGACTGAGGATTAAGCTCCTTCAGTTATTGATCTTGATTGCTTTCTTAATTGATGCACTTCTCAGCTACGTAGTTTCGACAGTCACTAAGGAAAGTTCATGGGAAAAGCGGGTGAAAATCGCATAAAGAGTCGAGAATTTTTGAGCGATAACGTAATATTTCGATGGAGGACAAATTTGAGCTAAAAGTTAGATTTGGTTTCTGCGTTTGGTATTAATGAACGATGGATCAATTCTACACTTTTTGTCTCTTTTCTCTTTTTGTCACTTTTTGTCTCCTTTTGTCTCTTTTTGTCACTTTTTGTCTTTAGTAAAGAAAAACGCTATTGAGCATTCGATATTTGTCGGATCTCATTGTGAATTGATCTCAATTTAAATCTCACAACAAATGAATCAGTGTTGTTGTTGTGTAATTTAGAGCTGCAACACAATCAATCGCATGTACACGAGTGATTTGAACTGATGAGAGTAACAGCTAAATATTTTTACTGTTGAGATTGTGAATTTGTTAGTGTTTCCGTCTTAACGCATCAATGAATCGAATCCATTTCGCGAACTGAATTTGAGAAAGAAATAGCAACCTAATAGAACAGAAAGTACCATGAATTTCAGGACACTTTGCCCACTAACACAAGACTGCAGGAATTTCAGGACATTTCTACGTCAAAACAATATGCGTCCTCCCGGCTGCAGATCCTCAGCAACGACACAACGACATCAAAGAAGAGTTGCTGAATCTAGCCGCTTTCATCACTCGAAAAACTGCAGAATATGAAAAAGTCTGCACTCTACCATTGAGTCTATCGTCAGTACAAACCTTAAAGTAGTTTGAAAATATCATATCATATTCTAGGAGAGCATGTTTTTGTTTGCAATAGAGATGCTTAGAGTTGGATTAGAATATCCAGAAATTCTGAGATATTTATCAACTTGATCAAGACGAACAGATCGATCTGATGTGATCTGATGATTAAATAGATCATGATCTGATGATCTGATCGCTGTTTAAGGCAGTTCTAGAGACATCAGCCGTCGTGTTCATGGCCAATGTTCTGGCCAATCGTGTTGCCTGCTGGGAATTTGCTGTCCAATTGACGAAACTCTATGAGGCGTTCACATTCTATCGATACGATGAGTTTTCATCAAAATGGAACGAGATGAAGCTGTCCGCAGATACGCCTCAAGATCTGAGTTCGTTTCATCGATCTTGTCCCGTTTGCAATCATATCTCTTCGGGTTTTGTGCCGCTGAGCGATAGAGATCAGATCAGATCAGCTCAGATTGCTGATCAATCGATTGTTTTGGTGGTAATGCAGGGACCATCATTGGGGTTTGATTGGTGATGTTCCGTTCGTAAGGTTCCATGAATTTTGGGACTTTTCTCCTTTTCTGTCGAACTTCAGGATACTGTTTGTGTTCCTAATCGGCACTGTTTGTGATGTTGACTGACACTGTGCGTGATGTTACTTGTGTTGCTGGTGCGATGGCGACAATTAATAATATGATTTAT